GATCGGGCAAAATCATCTAGAGAAAATTTGCATTCCCCAGAGACCATTGGTCTACATAATAGTTTTCGTCCTTACAAATCAGAAAAAATAAATGGTAACGGTATCTGCTAATTTTGAACCTCTTTCGTGCATAATTATTGTGCATTCTATCACTCTAAAGCCTTTGTATTATATCACGTGGTTTTGATTCGATGTGACGTATTTATAATATATATACAGTATATATATATGCATATGCTTCTTCTGATACACGTAAAAAAAGTTAACAATACGTAACTAGAAATAATAAATATGGAAGAGGCCTCGCGACAACGAAAGGAACGACTAGAGGCGTTGAAGAAACGAAAGCTAGCTTTTGAAGAAGCTAGTGGGACAGATAATGAAATGTAGGTGGCGAAATAACGAAAGTCTTTGGGATTTTTTGTAGGTAGTTTACGATAGACTTTAGACTTTCATAGGATAATGGCCTTTATTTAGAGACGTAAATTAAAATTATTAAACATCGTTTCTTTAAGAAAACCGACGTTAAAATTTCGAAATTACACCCCGATAAATGAATTTACAAATACAACCACGAATCACATAACACCGGACGATCTAGGCGAGACTCTGGAGAAGCAGGCAGACAAAATAACGAAGGAGGTCAAAGCTACCGAAGAGATTAAACGCACAGAAGAAGTGGTATGCGTTTTGTAATGTGACCATGAAGTCGTTAAAAGACATATTAATTTAGATTTATATTTGTATACAAAAAATATTTATTTATACTGATGTCCGCACTCATCACTGTAGGATCTATTCAATTTAGCGCCAAAGAAACCAAACTGGGATCTCAAACGTGATGTGGAAAAGAAGTTGGCGAGGCTTGATAGGAAAACGCAAGCTAGTATAGCTAAATTGATAAGTAAGGGTTTTAGCCGTACAATTTTCACGAATAATTCATATCTTTCCCTTCATGACATATTCGAAGGAATTCCGCTTTTTTAAATTGCATCCCTTCTATCAGGAATGAGACTTCAGAGTGAATCTGCAGATGATGCTACCGTTGATCTGGCAGACGCCGTTAATGCACAACAGAAAGCCGACTCAGATGACGATGACTCTGATTAACTATTGGAAAAGTTACGATTGGAATCGCCTTTGTGGATTGATGCTCAAAACGTGGATATAGAAATTAGATTTTACACCATTGTTGAAATGCAAATGTGGTAAACAGTGCTATTTAGGGTTCTATTAACATATTAACATTGATAGCAGTTGTCAATTATTAAAAACCAAAATTTTTTTTATCTTCGTAATATTATTGATAAACTAACGAGTATTGCATTGTATGTCCGTGCTTTAATATCATCTGCACACAATGCACAAAAAGGTATAGTTTTTTGTTATTAGTAATTATATTATATATTTATTTTTTAGTATGATTATTTTTAAATAATTTAATATTTAAATTTAAAAACGTAATAAATTATAACTTTAAAAAAAGAAGTAATAAAATTTTTATAACACTCGTAATTAGATCAATATTAATTAATATAATTTTTTAATATTATAAAAATTTTCAAATTTATAAAGGTTGAAATAAATAATAAAACTTTTTAAAAGCTAAATAATTTAATATATATACAGTTATTTTCAAAAGTTCGAGTCTACTTTTATATTTTTATTATAAATTTCAACTCTGTCAATTTTTAAATCTTTAATTATATAACTAAAAATTATAAAATTTATATACTGTATATTATGCTTTAATATTAATTTTGTTTCTTATATTTTTTTCAAAAAAATTTTTATATATAATTTTTAAAGTTTATTATTATTAAAAAATTTCTTTTTTTATTAAATTATTATTTTTAAATAATTTTGATCAATATTATTATAAATTATATAATAATTAATAAAACTAATAAAAATATTTAACTATAAAAAATCCTTAAAAATTATTTATAAAAAAGTTTTTTTTAAAAAATATAAGAAATTAAACAAATTTTAAGATATAATATTTATAAATATTATAATTTATAATTATATAATTCAATATTTAATTTTTTAAAAATTTGTTTTTGTTTTTTTTTATTGTAAGGACGAAAACTATTATGTAGACCAATGGTCTCTGGGGAATGCAAATTTTCTCTAGATGATTTTGCCCGATC